ACAGGCTATTTCTGTGGCAATGAAACGGTTTTGAAGGTTAGGCATAGTCTATTGTTCATTGGTGATTATGAACGTCTTTTTACATTTAATTTATGAGGTTTACGTCTATGGGTGAATTTGACTGCGACAATGTTTCAAAATTAGGAAGGGAAGCAGTGATTATTTTATTATATAGACGCTTCGCCTCTGATTATAATAATTGGTAGTTAAAAGATCACCAATGGGTGAAATAAAGCGTGTTGTATTATGTGAAGTCTGTAAGTGTAACTCAGTCTCTTATCAAGCTACGTAATGTTTGTGATGTAATCTGAATCTAGTGATAATACGTGTATTAAGTTTTTGCAGTCGTTGTTTTTGTTTTGTTTATAAGATAAGAGGAGAGAAGAGAAGAGAAGAGAAGATACATCTTTATTGTCCAGACCCTGGCACATTGGTGTTTCACCACGTGCACACATACACACACGCGCGCAGCCACACGCGCGCAGCCACACACGCACGCACGACACACATACAAACACACACATACAAACACACACAGACACACACACATACACACTCACACACCCGCACAAAAAACCTGCACACACCTTCAGCAGTATGCTTACACTCACAAACAGACTTCTTATCACTGTCACATGCATAATATAAATGAACAGTAGGCCTTATATTAACAATAATAGTGTTATGTATGACTAGGCGTTGGCTTACGTAATAGTACTATGTTCTTTAATTTATGTAAAGAAAAGAGAAGGCATGGTTATGTCCACACAAAAAAGAAAAAGAAAAACAAAACAAACAAACAAGCAAGCAAACAAAGCACAAAAGCAAGATTGAAAGAACTAAAGAAAGAAAGAGAGAGAGAAAGAAAGAAAGAGAGAAAGAAAGAAAGAGAGAAAGAAAGAAAGAAAGAAAGAAAGAAAGAAAGAAAGAAAGAAAGAAAGAAAGAACACTATAAATATTCCTATTACTTAAGCAGGCCAAATAGCCTATCATAAATTAAGGTGTAAAAACCAAACAAAATTAAGAGTCGGGAATTATATTTAGGACAGTCTATAAATTACAGCTGATGCCAAATATTATGTAGCCTAGGCCTACAACAGAAAACAAACCAAACGAAATAAATACAACAGATAAGAAATAAGGAAAATCAATAAAATGAGTCAAATCTTGAAGAAAAAAAGAAACATCTCAAGGAGAGCAACACATCTGTAAATTCTAGACAATAAGATAGATCTAGTGACATTACATGAGAGACAGCAGAAATGTGGATTCTTACTATAATAAGGACTAGTGAGAATTTACAGTGGAAGGAAAAGAAGTCAAAGGAGGTAGCTCCGAAATGTCGTGAGCCACTCACAGAAATCATGAGGAGCAGACAATGGCAGTTTCTGAGACACTTGAATCGACATATTTTTAAGGACCTTGTACAACACGTAGCTCTAACTTAACTAGATCTAGAGGTAAAAGGGGCGAAGCTAGATTTAGAAAAAAATGCCGATAATATTATGTATGACTTATTGAATGTTTTAAGCTCCTTGCTAATACCGGTACCCAAAAATGGTAGGCCTGTGACCATGACCTTGACATTTTATTCTCCAATTTGAAAAAAAAATCCTTTGTAGAGGTGTTTAAATATGCAAATTAGTCATATAGATCTAGATAACAAGATATGAACGATCTTTAAAAATTAAAAATTTAGTCTTTGGTTTCTCCAAGGTTTTTGTGTCAAGAGGGAGAACTGTGTACATCACTCATTCTTATCAATTTCTAGTTTAACGTCCCCTGGTATCCTTTTTCTTCTTTTTTTTTTCACTGTCCAACAATTAGCCTACAGAGATTTTCACTTTCAAGCGTTCAAAAAAAGAGGTACACTTTACTTTATATTACTAATAGTCTTATTAATGAAGACTGAACAATGTAATTTTAATTCACATAAAAGACAATTCATTATCATAGCCCCCCCCCCCCCCCTTTTCCCCTTACACGGATGGCTGCAGAATTATTATGGTACTGTGACCTTAGCGGAACGGAAGCCTCCATAGCTCAGTGGTTAGAGCACTGGTCTTGTAAACCAGGGGTCGGGAGTTCGATCCTCCCTGGGGGCTGACGCAACTTTTTTATTTTATTTTTTTATTACCTCAATTGGCCACTTCTATAACGTTCTGAAGCCAGTGATTCAGATTTAGAATAAAACCCACTTTTCTAAATGAAGAGTAGGGCCTACATCTTTCTCAGTTTTGAACAGCAGGGTGTCAATTATTTTTCTAGAGTCTCAATAATATTAACCACCGCCAGTTAGAAACAACCCCTCAATTTCTTTTTCTTTCTTTTTCAACATTTAATCTTCATTTCCAGTTCCAATAATTTGTTATACCTCAGGCATAAAGATCACAGAATACATGAACATACAGACCTGTGCACTAAGAGTAAGAAAACAAGATCAGAACGTTAAGATTTCTCCACAGGATTTCTCATAACATTTACGGACATTTATTGCTGAAGAACTAGATCTATATTGGCTACCAAGGTTGAAAACAGTTTGAGTTTCTTTTTAAAAACAACTAGATGGGGTACCTTTCAGTGACCATAATTTGATTGTCTTGTAGGCCTACATGAGATGGCTGTAAGGGCAGTTTCGACTGTATTGTAATATTATTAATTAATAATTATACTCAGGCTGTTACTGTTATATTGCCACTGTAACTAAGCTGAAGCTGATGCTCACGGTCCTTGAGCAAAGAGAAGCACAAAACACAATAATAATTGGCCGTTGGAATCAAATTTTTTAAAAACCACAAAACAGAGGAAACAGAGGAATTGCCCTATCAGATATAACTTACTCCCATAATCCTTACATCTACTTGCATTTGCAACTGCTGACAATATTATGCTGATAAGCTGGAATATAATAGCACACACACACACACACAGACAGACAAATAAAGAGAGAGAGAGAGAGAGAGAGAGAGAGAGAGAGAGAGAGAGAGAGAGAGACAGAGAGACAGAGACATTATGTACTAAACCCCCACCCCTGCCTTAAGACACAGGAGGCAGGCTGATTAGATCTAGTCAGTTGCAGACCATCGAAGTAGACAGACATGTAAATAATGATATTGAACAGAATAAACATCCCACAACAGGAACCAAACTTCAGCAAACATATATAGAGCTCTTTTTTTTGGTTACTCTGGCACAAAATGTGTATACCTATTGGCTTTATGTTCTTTCTAATATGATAAAAAATAAAACACTTCACTCGTATTACAAACCATATTTGATGAATTAAAGGTTTTGATTATCTAAATCAATGTCACCGCAAACAATTTCCCATCTACCATAATACGTGGGACATACGGCATACAACGCATAAGCAAAGTGGGGGCTTTGCTCTGTTCATTAATTAAGCACTAATCGCTTATAATATAACTTTTATTGATTTTCTAGGAAGACAATAAGAGACATTTTCAAGGCAGTTATACCAACTAAACCTTTAAAACGCATTTCAGTCATTTATTTTTGAACATTTAGTTTGGATTTTCAGTGTGTCAAAACTCAAACTGAGCATGCTCCATCCATTACAATTTAAAACTCGAGTCATGCTCCCAAACACATTGGGGAAACCAAATAATACCTATCAACCATCCAAGATTTCGCCCTTTGTCTTCCTCTCAAAAGAAGCTGTAAAAATGTGCCTTACTACAAATAGAGGCCTAAATAAAAAGCTAGGAGACAAAGCATGCAGACCCACATAATATTATTATGTGATGATGTCATAAGAGTGCCTGATGTCAGAATCCCAAAGGCAGCATTCTATGCTCAGCTGTTTTCAGGGAATTAGATCTAAGCGTAACAATGGCCCACTAAACCCCCCAAAAAAGCGGTACAATGATATCCCAAAAATGACTCTGAATCCCTTGACATGGAAGAGCCTAGTTCCAAACAGACCCAGTTGGAGAGTGTAATCACAAAGGTCGAAAAATCACATTGATGAGGTTTCATATAAGCAATGCCGCAGCCATAAAAGAGAGACCTGCAAGCTGCACTCATCAACAACTGGGAATAAAGCTTATAGATTATGCTCAACATGATACAGTGAACTGTTTTCTGCCAGCATTGGTCTCATCAGCCACAAAAGAAGCCACAAATCATTTCAATCCTTATTTCTTCAATTTCGTGTCAGAAGTATCCTCCTTTGCAGATGCTATGCCAAAGGTATTTCCCATGACTACTAGATTCTAAGTTTTTAAAAAGTATAGAAATCAGGATATTAGGAACCAGAAAAAAGTCAAGTATTTTTTAACACCAGTGTCAAAAGGGTAATACTCTATGGATCGGAAACATGCAAACTTACAAAACTAACTTCAAAAAGGCTACAGGCATCTGTCCACAGCTGTCCAAATATTCCTTGGCCTGACGTCATAAGAAATTATTTTTTTGCTAAGTGTTTTACGGCGTTCGCGGCTGCATAAGGCCATATGAGCGCAATAGACACATTACACTTTAAACATTTTCAGTTCGTAAGAAATTTTGAATTTTGCCTGGGTGGCGGCCGAAGCATACTCTTTTCGATTACAGACCACCAAGGGATTTCCCTTGTCCGAGAAGGCTAGGAGTAGATCTTTCCTACCAGAAGATCAGGGGTGTAGCTGAAAGACAGCAGTAAGAAGGAGCCAAGAAGTAGCGGTAAAAAGGCTGCAGAAAGAGTCAGGAGCCCAGAAGAAGGGGCGAAGGAGGCATGGAGGTGGTAGCAGAAAGAGGAGACGAAAGCAGACGACAGAACATTGCTAGAGAGCAGGAAAGGAGGTGAAAGGAGACAATTTTAGATGAAAAAAATTTTCCCGTCGCTACATGGATTCGAACCCGGGACCTTCGAATGAGAGACGAACACCTTAACCTCAATTATGGACCAAACAAATCAACAGAAAAAAGATAGAAATCAGAATGAAAAACAAACATTACCATACCTACCAGGCCAGAGAAAGAAAGGAAGACCTAGAAGTACCGTACTTTAGAGGAGGAACACTAGATGGAAGTAGATGGGATACAGCTGGACAGAAGTGGAGACAATAGCCCAGCAGGACAGAAGTACAAGGAAGGCTCTTGTCGATGGCCTAAGCTTCATCATTGGGTGATAAAGGCTGATGATGATGATGTGATGCTATACTATAATCATACTTTTGAGCCACTCCAGACGATGTTCTCGACAGAGTGACGTACAGGCGCAGCCATTGTCTACCGAGACAGAAGGAGCCGACAATACAACATTGTATAATATATACTTAACATACACAGATATCATATGCTCTGATTTCTGTCATATAAATTTGCTTTTGGGAATATATAGAAAGGACCTATAAATGTGTCTGAAAGTACAAACAAAAGTTAAAACCTACCCTCCCATTTGTTCCTTTCAGACTACACACCAATTCCATTCCTTAAATTATAATTAGACTATCAAAGGTCAGGCCATGGACTAGCCAGGTCCACAGTAATTGAAAACAGAAAAAGAATTTCAGACAGCGATATTGAGAACAGTAATGTCACATATTGACTTAGAAATCAAAAGAAAATAGAAAATGATAGCAGTAGAGAGGGAGCTGGATTCCACTCCACCCAATCCAACCAAAAACAAACTATAGACGAAGTAAATATCAGATGTCACAGCTAATATAAGTAAAAGGCAAGTACGAGAGTTGTATAAAGAGGGGTTTCAATGCTGTACTTTTATTGAAGACAGACAAACTTAAATAAACAATTTAAAAAATATGATACATTGGAATAGTGGAATTAATTTCTTGATTAAATTCCAGTCAAGAAAATTTGTACACTTTGTAGCTATTACTGATACTCCTGACAATTTAAGATCAATCTTCATTGTCCAGATGCTGGCACATTGGTTTGGTGTATCACTGACAGCCATATCCACACCCATACACACAAACACACACACACACAAACGCATATGTGTGTGAACCCATCCATATAATTATGAGTGCTGCTCTGAGAAAACCCGTTGGATGGTTAGGAATTTTATTTTGAAATATCGCCGAAATAGGCCCTGAACTTCATTTTTATCGCAAACGAGATTATAGGAAATTTAGAAAGATAAACCATTTTTACATCATAAGTGTCAAGAAATTTGTTCAAAAATGATTCTAAACATTTTTTAAGAATTATTTTTGAGGACATATCGTCGTCGAATTACGCCAAATTCCTAGACAAACAGAGGGAATCTTTACTCAATCGGGTGGACACTTTCTTTCCACGGGAACCCCCACATATTATATACCAAAAGAAAGAGAATTCTATTGCCGTTTCGGAAAAACCCAGTGTGCAAGAATAATATTTAAGCATCACAAATAGTTACATGTCGCACATCTTCTAGTTTCACTTTTAAAAAGGTGATAATTTCACGAGTGTCGTTTTAACTCCTTCTGACTATTTCCTGCCATTCATACCAAATCTGAACTGTTCCTAATTGAATTTAAAATCGTCGTTCTGCTCTGCGAAGTATTTTTTTTCAGGTTTGCAGTGAGCAAACTGCAAGTTGTCTGTTTCAAAGTGATTGAACATTCTTGTTTACTTAATTTGAATTTGGTCCCAAAGTAAACAAAACTTTAAAATGACAACTCTCTATAACATTATTTTTTTATCCCGACGATGTCATTATAGAGAGGCTGCACTGTAAATATTTATATATACACACATACTCTCACATATCCTCTCTTGCACACACATAATATACATACACATGTTATTGTTATGTGCTCACACTCACAGGCACAATCATACACACGGTGGCAGGGCGTAGTGAAGGGTCAGAGGTCTTGAGCTCCCTTCCCTCCTCCCTCCCAACTATTTCCCTACATTAATGAATGTTTCTTGATTAAACGAAATAATCAGTTGAAACCATCTGGACAGCTTTAGAATCTTCAGCCCTGAGTTGCATGCAGTGAGCACATGTACATGCACTTACAAAAACTGTGGCACTCTGAAAGCCCAACAATCGGAAGTTCATGACACACTTTCCCCACAGACCCAGAAACCAACACACTCATTGGACACTCATTAGAAATGTCTTGCTTTCTACGACTCTTTGCATATGTACACAAACATACACATTCACACATATCTAGACTTTCCTCTGAACCAGGGTCCTACGTTTGAACTCAACCTACACTCATTTCATTTCTGAGCCCCACCCACATTTAGATCCACCCACTGCGGCTGCACACATATGACAAAAATAAACAGTTATTGTTAACAATAATAATTCTTCAGCAGGTACATAATCAGTAATCTAATAGTAATTTGTTGGTATTCTGATAGTACATGTACAAGCATCAAAGGGTTAGAAATACTTATTTCACAAGATTTTGTATCTTTCTTTGTTACACTACAGAAGCATGGGTCTTTTACTTCTTATTGATGTTTGGATTTACGACTATTATACTAGCAATAAAAATCATGAGCATTAAGGATAACGATACATGATAATGATAGTGACATTGACCATGATGATGATGATAAGGGAAATGGCACAGCAATAACGGATGTGTTGACAGAATGTCTTTAGCTTTATCACTCTTCTTCTTTTCTGTTACCCTGTAGTGACTCCAGAGTGGTCTTCTGTTGTCGTTGGCGTAGCCACTGTCGGTATTGCATTCTTTGCTGTTTACGCTCTTTGTGCTCCAGCTGCTGATTCAGCTCCGACAGTTCGGCTTGCAGAGCTTCAGCCTGGGACTCTAAGCCTTCCACGTCACAAGCTTCTATCTCTTGCTGGACTCTAAAGTATCAAAAAAGTATAATCAGAGTTCCTCCAAGTAGAGACTGATACCAGGATAGACTTGTGGGATGACACGAAGAGAGAGAGAGAGAGAGAAAGAGAGAAAAACAGAAAGAGAGAGAGAGTGATTGAGAGAAATTGAAAGAGATTGGTTTGTCTTCTTTGTTTTTATTTGGTATGAGTACTTTGCGGTATTTAAGCATAAATAGTCATTTCAAAGGCAAACCAAATACTGGCCCATTGATTAAAGAGCAAAAAGTACCCAAAAAAAGAGGAAAGAAAGAAAAAAGGCAGGGCCAATACTCCAAAGTAAATAGGGCCTACTTGTAGGCCTACTACTAATATAATACATGTGAGCATAGAGGTGTTTATGAGTAGGCCTATTACATGTAATTTCATTACAACATTTATCCCTCATCATGCTAGTATGCCAAAAGAGTACATGTATTCATCTGCTGTGTTCATATTAGCATCTGCTAGAATATTTCAAACAACTTCACAAACATGATTATTGTACTTGCAGACGTTTTGCACCACCATCAATACAATTTAGATTGTTTGGGAGGTGGGCTAGCTGCTGCAACCCTACCTGCCAGGGTCAACCCAGGTCGAGAGGAATAACGTTTCAGCAGAGATGAAAGAGCTCTATAAAAATCCTCCCAACATGGGAATCGAACTCAGTGTTCTATGTGCAATGGCGAACTAGCAACTATTACCGCTAATTTATATTACAGACGTTAGTCCAATTTTCACAGAGCACACCAATTAAATCAAAAGTTTTAAAGTATGACCGCACAAATTTGTGTCATGACGCGGTGGAATCAGGCACTTGTCAATTTGTGGGCATGTGGGGTTACTGGTATTATCTGAAAGCTAATTCATTTGCCTTGCTTTCTACGAGAAAAATACTCATCTATCTAAACTAGAAGTCAAAATACTTGCGATTCAAGGAGGTGGGGGTAGCCTGGTTTCACAGGTAAAATTAGTGTTAAGTGGCCGCCAAAGTTTGGTAACTTCTACAGCTTGAGAGTCCTTGAAAACTGAAAATCTACATATTTTGTGCCATTAATCAACGTTTTTCGGTTAAATTCACATGAAAATGTGCTTTCATATGGAAATAAAAAGTATTGAGCCAAAAAACAAAATTTGGGTAAAAATTGCCAAACTGTACAAAAAATGCCTTTTTCTTTTTTTTCTTCTTATTTTGATGAGCGCCTGATTTCACCACGATGACTCACATTTGTTTTTCCTAACATCACAGACAGAAAAGTTCTAGAAAACCCTGAAGCTTCATTGAAAGAGGATAATAAAATACACATGAAAATTATTAAAATGGAGCTGTTCTTTTCTTTGAAGTCTCAACCCAAGATATTAAAGTCACACCAAGCAAGTTTACATTAGTAATTTGTTCATGGAGTTTCCCTTGCTAATAGTTAAGAAAGGGGCTAGCTGCAAGCTAACAGATCCAGCTCTGGCAAGGCTTGCGGTTCAATTAGTATATGTGAGGTATCGTGGTGAAATCAGGCACTCGTCAAAATAATTAAATTGAAAATTATATCAGCATTTTTCTTCCAGTTTGACAATTCTTTTCTAATTTGTGTTTTTTGACTCAACACCTTTTATGTCCATTTAAAAACATATTTCTGAGTGGATATTACTGAAAAACATTGATTAAAGGCACAACAAATGTAAATTTTTAGTTTCTAAGGACTCTCAACCTTTGGAAATTACCAAACTTTGGCAGCCATTTTCTCACGAATTTTACCTCAGAAACCAGGCGACCCCGACCTCCTTCAATCGCAAATATCTCGACTTCTATTCAAGATGGGCATGTATTTTTTTCCATTAAAAGATGATCAAATGAACAAGCTTTGAGAGGATACCAATAACTCCAGATGCCCAAAAACTGACCAGAGCCTGATTCTACCGTGTAATACACATGTATTAGTACTTATTACATATATTATAGGTGTCGGCCCAGGTTCATCATGAGGTTAAGCACCAATTTACTGTTTTACAACTAATGAAATATTTGTACAGGAAAGTGTAGGCCTACATACCTAATAAACTGCTCATCTGTTTCTGAGGCTTGAATTAGACGTGTTGTTTCTTCCTGAAGTACCCTCAGAGCTGATTCCTCATCTTCCATAAGCCTTGCAAGGCCTGTTTACAAAAGCCATTATCTAAGAAGACTGAAATGTCGGATCTTAAAAAAGATCATTCAACTTTGTTTTTCCTTTTTTAAAAAGAGCCGTTCTAAAAATGCAAAGAAAAAAGCAGAAATTTATAGGAGACACTACGACAGCAGTGACTTGCGAGTTACATAGATAGTTTCCTTGGAGTATAATTCAATGCTGGGTAAACACATACAAAAAGACCCCCCCAATTACATTTGAAACCTTAATGCATCTTACAATCAAAAGCTGTCACATCTCTACGATACTACCTTTTATTAGTGTATTATTTTCAAAGTGATAAATGTTACTTCCAGGATTTTTACCTCTTCTTCTCCTACCCATTGCTTTTACAGCTAAATTGTCTCCTTCAACTCTCTGTAAGAAAATATTAGCAAGTTAATCCCATGGAAGAATGTGCCTCTACTTACAGCAGCAGCTACAACTAGGAAAGACCTGACACTGCATACCCCTAGATACATAATTGTACACCCCAGCTAAAACAGTACCACCAGGAACAGCATGATGTCTCTGATAATAGCTGAACCCTATTATAACCGGTGACCCCATTTACAAATTACATACATCATAACTAATGATTAACAAATGGAATCGTTTTTGTTACATAGCCTAGATTACTCACTATCAATTTATCCGTTATTTCTCCTGTCTTTTCCACTATTATAATTTGCTCCTAATCCTTATCTTTCTTCTTCTAGTACCTTAATTTCATGGAGGTTGACTAGGTGTCATATGAAATGTACAGGATGTAGCCTAATGAAAAAAATAATTGCATTTATTTAGAGCATACCGACTAAAACAGAATACTCTTTATGAAAAAGTTAACACCCTTAGGAAAAAGAACACACATAAATCTGTATTAGATCAAGTGCGCAGTGCCTGCTTTCATTCAGACATGTTCCCGTAACAAGTCTCAACACCCCACGGGAAGACAGGTCACACTAAGATACTTGAGTCACTGACTGGAAAATCTGGATTAACACCAAAGTGCATCCAGCTTTCCCCCCTCCCTCCCCTGCTTATATATATATGGCATGACACATCATTATTAACTTAGGCCTCTTGTGGGTCATGTAGATACAATTCACCATGGGCATCATTTTGCTTCATTTGCTTTCCTTCTACTTTCTTTTGTTTGTTTGTTTGTTTAGTATAGGGTTTTACGGCGCTTGCAACTGCATAAGGTCATATGAGCGCGCGGGACACACCTAATACTTTTTCGTTGGTAGGAAATTTTGAATTTTGCCCGGGTGGCGGCCGAAGCCTACTCTTATCGATTTTAGACCACCAAGGGATCTTTAACGTGCGCAACTTGCACACGGGCCCTCCGAGATTTTTCGCCCTTGTCCGAGAAGGCTAGGTGTAGATCTTTCCTACCAGAAGATCAGGGGTGTGGCAGAAAGACAGCAGTTAGAAGGAGCCAAGGAGTAGCAGTAGAAAGGCTGCAGAAAGAGTCAGGAGCCCAGAGGAGGGGGCAAAGGAGGTGAGGGGGTGGGGGCAGAAAGTGGAAATGAAAGCAGACAACAGAACAATGCTAGAGAGCAGGAAAGGAGGTGAAAGGAGACAATTTTAGAGAAGAAAATTTTTTGGTCGCTACCCGGATTCGAACCCGGGACCTTTGAATGAGAGGCCAACACCTTAACCTCTAGGCCACGAGAGCCCCCTTCTACTTTCTTGTCCATTTATTTTATAATTTTGTCAATGATTAGACCATGAGTGTTATAGCCAAGCTTCCTATGTCTACTATAAACGTACCCTTTTTTAAAACTAAAATCATAAGAGGGTTTGGGATTTACTGTGAGCCTGCTATAGCTGAAATACTGTTATAATCGAGACTGTTTTAGGTGGGGGCCCACTGTATTAAAATTCCAATTTGGTAGTTCTTCCCCTGCAAAAATTAATTTTAGTCATGTTATACCAACAGAAAGGATTAAAACAAAATAATGGGGGATAATAAGAATCTGGAATTACATTAATTCGGACAGGAACAACAGATTTTTCTTTCATTTCTTGTAAGAGGTTATGGCACTTGAAACACACTTAGGTCATAAGTGCTGAAGATTAGAGGTGTTACTAGAAATTAAAAAGTAACATACACAGTAAAAGGAGCAAACCATCAACTACCCAACACCCTCAATAATATAATGTGCGTTTCTAATATATTTTACATTATTGTACAAAGTCAACACTGTGTACTTACTTTCCATTTCCTTGGATATACTATCTGTACGTTGGTGAACAAGAACATTTCTTGCCATGAAATCATTGACTTTAGACAGATCTTCTTCTGAAGTCTTTAGATCTGCAAAAAAAAACCATTAAAGGGAAAACACATGTACATTATAAAGTAGCAGAGCTCAGATCACTATAAACAAGTCTTGGTGAATATCCACCTATAGCTTGTTCACTTTTGTCTTTCAACGTTAAAAAAATTCTAGCTCATTAATTAATTTACCTATGCCATCAAAATGTTGCATGGCACTTCTGCAAGCCAGTTATCAAACAAAAATATTTTTTTCAAAAAATCTTGATCCAGTAATAAAAAAGTTTTTTCTATTTGAGCCCTACATTAAAAACTTCCCTTAGGGAGCATACATAGAATCACTCAAATAAATTATCTACAGTAACCTAACCTACAAATAGCTCATTTTGAGACAGCGACACCACCCTGCTACCGTATTTCAGTGGAAGCGTGTAGATTTCATTGCATACCTGTCTAGACTAGATGTCTCCACGTGAATCTCGAAAAGTACTCACCCTTGCTGATGGACATTGTAACATAGGTGAAATTAAAGCGTGGTGTTGAAGAAAATATGTCGAATTTTTTATGTTTTAGGTGTATGCTAAAAAAAACCTATTATGTTTTTTTTAACCAAATTTTAGGCTAACATCAAAGGAAATGTGTCAGAACCTTAGTTTGCAGTGACCTTCATTAATCGGCTTTTAGATTCTGTTGGTCATCCAAATTTTAGACCCGTGTGCAAAGAACTGATAATATTTCACAGAGATATTTCATTTTCTTGTTTTAACAGTGGTCTGATGAAAGTGAGCAAGCTATAGTTAATGTGTTCTCTGCATACACTGTCTGTGGTCTAGAGGTTATAGTGTTCGCCTCTCATTCTATAGGTCCCGGGTTCGAATCCGGATAACGACAAAAAAAATTCTTCTTTAACATAGTCTCCTTTCACTCACCTCCTTAATGCGCTCTAACAATGTTTTGTCATCTGCTTTAGTCTCTACTTTCTGCCCCCACCCCCTAACCTCCTCTGCCCCCTCCTCTGGGCTCCTGACTCTTTCTGCAACCTTTTTACTGCTACTCGCTGGCTCTTTCTTACTGCTGCTTTCAGCCACACACCTGGTCATATGAACATCTAACACCTAGCCTTCGCGGATAAGGACGAAAAATATCGGAAGCCCCTCGTCCAAAATCGATAAGAGAAGGCTTCGACCACTACCCAGGCAAAATTCAAAATTTCCTACCAAACTGAAATGTTTAATAATGTGTCTTGTGTGCTTATATAACTTTATGCCGTTGTGAGTGCCAGCACACACTTACCTTTAAAAAAAATGTTTTTTAAATTGTTACAAGTATATAGACTCTACCCAACAAAACGGGGGATATAATAAACTAACAACAGTATTCATCCGCAAACAGTTCAAAGCCTTTAACTACTCCCCCAAGAATCCTCCAACCATGCATGTACAGACAAAAATTATATTTGGGCTCTGAATTGAATCCAGCATGACATCCGTTTCGATTTCCGACCCTTGTCCCTAAATATTTCCAGCATTTATGACATTTTCTTCGATTATAATGATAACAATCGGGACGTCAGCTTTAATATCCAGTGACTAGATCTATCTAAACTGGCCCTCCTTGCATCATTAGTATGAACACAAGTTGAGTTGACCTAGCCGGCTGCAGGGGGCAAGGTTAATTATATCGACCAATGAGATTGTGCGTAGCGATCATGCACTCTTGGCTTGCTGGGGGAAGAGGTGTTGAGAAGAGGCCACAGCTGTCGATTTTGTGTGATGTGATTTAAAAAGAAAAAATTAATAACAGAAAAACTATAACACACAACAAAACGAAATTAAACATGTGGAAAGACAAATGGTGGTGGAAGTAATGATGATGCTGTGGTGATGGTGGAAAGACCCCGAGTTGTCGGTTACCGTGTACTTAAACACTGCCATTGGGCAATGAGAGTGCAGTCTTTGGACTTTTGACATAATTACACAGTCCTAGTAGGTAATTCTAGTTCAAATTCTGGTTTTACGTAAAATCCCCAGACGACAGTAATATTATGTAATTTCCTTACACTGACATAACTCACTTAGAAGCTGAGTTCGAATAAATAAAACATTTTTTGGGACGCAAGTCCGAATAGATAAAACCCATATTCGGACTAGGAGATAAAAAATCTAATCAGACTCGTATCTGAATAAAGCTGGCCTATATATTATATATAAAATACACAGTTAAAAACAAAATTCATCACCCAAGAGTAATTCTTGTTTTTTCACAAGCAGCTCCTGAATTTGTTTTGTAGCCTGTGTAACTCTTGCTTTTCTGCTATCATTTCCTAAACCATAAGTTTGGCAGAAGTTTGCTGCTGTTTCTGTGAAAGCTACCAACACTTTGCTCTTGGCTTCATCCAGAAGTGTCTGAAGAATAAGAAAAGCAACAATATTTTTACAAACCATAATCAAAAGTTACCAAACATAGTAACTTAAAAGCTCAGGGGACTATACAAAGTCATATTTTATGGGTAAAAGCCAGTCCAAAAGAGTTACATTTCTGAAAAGAAGACATGGCAGTCAACATTAAATTTAAGGTATCATCAACATAGTCTTTACTCTTGACATAAATTAAATAATGTAATGTGCAGATGTTCCCCACAACTTACAGATCAGCGCAATCTTTTAACGATCATATAATTGCACGGCAATCTTAAGATTGCGCTGCGCGTTTTAACGATCATATAATTGTGCGGCAATTTGAATTGCATTGATCACCTGAATATTTGTGAGGCATCTTGGTGAAATCAGGCGCTCGTCAAAATAATTATTTATATATTATAAATCGAAGAAATTGGCATTTTTCCAGCCAGTTTGGAAATTTCTTTGAATTTTTGTTCTTTGGCTTAGCACCTTGAATCCATTCAAAAACATTCTTTTGTGTGGATTAATGGAACCACGATTAAGGGCACAAAAAATGTAAATTTGCAGTTTCCAAGGATTCTTGAACTAATTACTATGGCAGTCACCAAACTTTGGCGGTCATTTTCTCCCTAATTTTACTTCACAAGCCAGGCGACCCAACCTCTTTCAATCGCAAATATCTTGACTTTTATTCAAGATAAATGACATTTTTTTTCATCAAATGCAAGGAAAATGAACAGCCTTTGATCTGATACCAAAAACTCCATTTACCCAAAAATTGAGGAGCGCCTGATTCCACCATGTCGTGACACATCTTATAATTTTGAAATATTTTTTTTCTTAATTTAGGCCTATTTCCGTCTTTATTCTCATACATTTTCAAAAGCCTAAAAATATGAAAATTAAAATCATAAATTAAAATTAACATATGAAACTGAAGAGCTCACAAGAATGATACAATGCTAGGTATCAAACTCAAAGTTCACAAAGTACATTTAATTTATTTTATATTTTTAAAATAATTTTTTAAAGAATTCACTTCCATCTTTATTCTTTTACTCACATCAAAGAACATTCATGTATATTTTCAAAAGTGTAAAAACATGAAAATTTAAATTTAAATTAAGATATGAAACTGAAGAGCTCACAAGAATGATACAATTATATGATCGCTAAAACGCGCAGCACAATCCAAAGATTGCCGCGCAATAATACGATCCGTAAATTGCGCGGAACACAAACACTTTGCCTCAAAAATGAAATTAAGTTTCTCAAATTGAGCAATGAAAATAACCCTTTTTAAAAAAAATTAACCTGCAAAAACTATCCACAAAAAGGTATGACACACAGACTGCAAAAAAGATCTAACATAATAGATAATATACACATAATGTATTTAACTCACTTAACTGCAATAAAAGACACTCAGTGTTTTAGGGTGTTCACAACTGCATACTGTCAAATGAGCATGCGGGACACATTAAACATTTTCAGTTTGGTAGGAATTAATTTTGAATTTTACCCAGGTGGCAGCCAAAGCCTACTCTTGTTGATTTTAGGAACATCACAAGGGATTTTTAACGTGCATAACTTGCACACGGGACCTCCGAAACTTTTTCTCACTTATCCAGAAGGCTAGATGTTCTACCTTACCTACCCTAAGATCTGGGGTGTAGCTGAAAGACAGCAGTAAGAAGGAGTCAAGTAGTAACAGTAAAAGTTAAGGCTGCAGAGAATGACAGGTGCCCAGCGGAAGATGAAAGGGGGAGGGGGAGGGGGCAGAAAGTGGAGACAAAAGCAGGAAAGAAAGTGAAAAGAAACTATTTTAAAGAAGAACATTTTCCGTCGCTGTCAAGATTCGAACCTGGGACCAATTGAAAGAGAGGCAAACACCATATAACTTCTAGACCACGAGTGCCCCAAAAAACAATCTCAAACCAACTAACTGGAATGTTGTCCTAAATGGATGAAAGGGTAGACAGAAAGACTGCATTGTTTTCAGGTTCGAGTGACAAATCTCTACGAGCTTTAAGCTTAATTTCAATTACATCACCTACTACATTATAACTACATGTATAGTGACTGGGTATTGAAATGTTTGCAAGCAAGGATAACCGATAAGATAAACATCTAAATAGTTTAAAGGTGCGGCATTCATGTAGTCATAGAAGTGAGGGACAGATGCTCTGGACCTCATTTCATTTCCAAGGCCAACTTCCTGGCATGTCCATAGTAAAGTAAGTCATCATGTGTAGGATACTCCAATCACTTTATGTGCTATACTCATGTTCGATTACTGTGCCCATGTAGCACATTCAAAGTTACCTCATACCTGAATAAAGGAGCTTGGCCAAAATGTAGCAACTGTTCAAACTTACACAAAACTAGTTAATTAATAGAGTCTGTTACATAGTGTAGAACACATACTCCATGTTTATAAAAAAAAATACCCAAGCATCAGATCCAAGACCGCCCCACTTATTAGGTGGTCTCCATCAGGTCCTTCGATAAAAACATGAAGAATTCACAAGGATATATATATTTGTTCCAAGATGTATGGTCTTTTTTTTAACTTCTTCTTCGAAAGTTTCATGCATTTCATGAGTTTAGGTTTATGAAAAAAAATTCAAAGCAGTACCTTGGAACCAGTTTGTTTTTTCATCCGAAATCTCCATGTAGGATGTTTAGGTGTAATGACTACATGTATGTTGTCCATGTGTGAGTGCATGCCTAAGTGCGTCTGTGTGTGTGTGTGTGTGGGGGGGGGGGGGAGGGGGGGTGCCTGTGCGAGTGTTTGTGTGTGTATGTGTGTGTGTGTGAGTGTGAGTGTGTGTGTGTGTGTGTGTGTGTGTGAGTGTGGGTGCCTGTATGTGTGTGTGTGTGTGTGTGTGTGTGTGTGTGTGTGTGTGTGGGTGGGGGGTGCCTGCGTGTGTGTTTGTGTGTGCGTGCGGGTGTGTGTGTGCGGGTGTGTGTGTGTATGTGTGTCAAGTGTGTGTGTGTGTGTGTGTGTGTGCGTGTGTGTGTGTGTGTGTGTGTATGCGCGTGTTGGAATGCCAAGTTATGCCTCCATTCCAAAGGAAATTTTATAAAGTATAGAGTTATTGCCCTGATTGGGACAACGGTGGTAAGATAAACCGATACAAAAGAATGAATGAAAAACTTACTTGTTTTGATGTCAGCTCTGAACTTTCTGCTTTAAGTTTTTCAGTATTTGCACACAGCAGCTCTTCCCGAAATATAAGTTGAGAAACAGCCATTTGTGAACACACAAGTCCCTGTTCCTATATTAAATAGAATTAGAAAAAAAATTTTGAGGCAACCAGTCAATGTCAATTTCTCAAGCAGCAGTCTGTAAAAATCTTTTTATTGAGCATATAGATTTCTAGATCTAATCTAGATCTAGAGATCTAGATCTAGATCTAGATCTAGATCTAATTGATTTTTTTAAAAACAACTTTCAAAATCAATAGATCTATATATTACACACAGAGGAACTAATAACAAAGAGATGATTCCTGGGAAAAAGAAAAATGCCTGTAGCTCTCAGGAATTATGTCCATAATATATGATAGGTAGAAGACGTACAGAACTCTTTCAAAATGGGGTAAATAGGGATGGACAGTGGACAGGAAAAATGTTTTGCTGAACAATATCTATCACTTCAGTCACCATTTTTCATGAACACACAAATAACACGACTATTTTCTTTTAAAATGTAGGCCACTGCCTTTATGACAACACAAAGCAACTCATGTTATTCACCATTTGCCGTATTTTCTCTTTGCTTTCAGATATCATCCTTTTCATCTTCTTCTGCTGCATTTCCAACTCTTTAATTTCATCTTTCGCTGAAAAATATTATTTTTTACTTTCTCAATTAATTCATGAAAAAGTAACTGAGATGAGCTACAAAGTCAAGTTCCCCTTATGACCCAAGGCAGACCCACTTTTTACTGTCAGCCTGTTCATTACAATTTATTAAATTTGCTTTCTCAAAATTATGATATATTAGAAACATTATCAGTATCAGCACTGCAATGTCTGCTGCGAGTGTCAAAAAAACAAATTAACAAATATCTGTAGCTTATGCGTGAATAAATGCAGGGGAACTCAGATTCAACAACGTCGTCAGGCCTGACCTTCAATTTCGTTGAATCTGGGTGTTCGTTTTATGGCAAATATAAGGTTTTTGTGTAGATAATTACAGGTACCGAACAAGTAATGTATAGTGTTGTTATTCAGCTTTCTCAATCAAAAGCAGTTTGGTTTCAAATGAACGGCATTTATTCTTTTCTTTGATACCAAAGAATTGATGGAAAATTCCAGGAAAATACACCTAACTCTACCAGCACACACTGTGAAAAAGAGCTGATCAAAAGCACGCCTGTGTCATCTATCGTCTCTATACGTATTGTTTACCAAACAAGTTATGTTGCTGGGTAGAGCCTAGCATATAGGCCTATGGCAACGTTTGATTCCACAGTCCAGCAAGCAATTCATTACGTAGTTTATCATTGTAATATATCGATCAGTAGCCGCGGAAAAAATAACTGTAGCATTTGTATCTCTACTGACGTTCCACGTCCAGACCGTATATGTACCCCCTCCCCCATCGGCCCTTCTACACACACACTCACAGTCACATCAAACGTGTGGTGGCTGCCCGTCCAACTGCGACACATGTAAGACATGGGTACCTGATAACAATGCACAGTGTATACCAGTGTATTGGTATGAAAGGAGGTCGCTGCAATTGGTCGCAGCAGTTCACCCTGTGCGACTTCGTTGAATCCGAATCTTGCTTATTTTGGTGTTCGTTGAATCCGAGTAACTTTTTATTGATTTTTATGAGATGAATATAAAAATTAGTGAATCCAACTCCTCTTTTAATCAATCCGAGTTCGATGAGACCGGGTTCCACTGTATAAACTTACATAGATCTAGATATAGATCTAGATCTAGATGTAATCTATCTAGATTCTAGATCTATAATCTAGATCTAATCTAGATCTAGATCTAGATCTAGATTCTAGATTAGTAAGAAGAAATTCTAAAAAGAATGAAAAAAAACAACAACTTTCCTTGAGTGAGGAACTAGATCTAGAATCTAGATCTAGATTCTAGTCTATTCTAGATCTAGATATCTAGATCTAGATCTAGAATCTAGATCTACATATTACAACATCATCCATGCCATGATGATGCCCTGTCTGTCAATTAATTGAGCTTACTTCAAGCATCACAGTCACAGTTTAATTACGATGTTGAACAGACATTCAAAGCCAGTATTATTTTATAGAGTCTAGATTTGTAGATTGTAGATCTAATATCTAGATCTAAAATATAGATCTAGATCTAGATCTAGATTCTAGATCTAGACTGTAGATCATAGGCCTTGATCTAGATTTCTAGATCTAGATATATATCTAGATCTAGATGTAGATCTAGATCTAGATCTAGATCTAGATGTAGATCTAGAATCTATGTAATACGCACTAGCCATAACAACAGTGGGGGGGGGGGGGGGGGGGGATTTATCGACAACCTTCCTGGCATTTCTTCTTTTCTTCAAACACCATGCTCTCAGATTTGATGAGGACTGTGAAAAGATCATGGATTGACTCATCCATATTGGGGCAAGTAATGGCCGGCCAGAGCAGTATGCTTGCTGCAAGACGTAAACAATCAACTTAATCAACACATTGGGCCTAGTCTATACGTTCCTATACTATCTGACCGTCTAGGGCCTAGTGCAAAGGTTAGAGCATTCATCGTCTGCTTCCCTTGCTCAGGGGAAGATAGCCCACTGAGCGTCCAGGACACAACAACAATCAATTCAAAGTTATAAATATCCACCAATCCATTCCACGCATTTGTCAGTTTTCCGGGAAATTTGCAAACAGTTTTGGGGACTCTCGGAAACATTACTATAATAGGTTCTAGATCTAGCTATTTTAGCCACTTTAGGTAATGTTACTCAGCGGTCATTGGGTAGCTTAAATAGCACATATTTTTAGAAATTCGTCACACTAGTCTAAGCCTGGGCGTTAGCCAGATCTATACTATAAAGATTGATTAGTACAGTAACAATGGCTAGTCATCAGCAGACTTGTGTGCCCGAAACGTCGTTACCTTTTGAAGAGCACGACGTTCCCTTGCCTGTACCTGTAGCATCAAACACCTGTAACTCCCCCGAAGCATCAGCTGTCGACGTTTGTTGCTCCACTGACAGCACTGACCACAACGGCTTTTGCTCTCAACTTAAAGAGAACATGGCCGAGGCGAATACTAGTGGCTTTGACCGCTTGTTTCAGAGAATGAAAAGGTAGGACAGCAGACCGGCGGATAGCTTATTATTTATACTTATCCTATACTTTATAATATAATAGGTCTAGATCTAGAATCTAGATCTAGATCTAGAGTCTAGATCTAGATCTAAGATCAGAACCGGGTAAGATTGAAGAATACCGGACCAGCGGACTGACTTTGCTATGTCTCAACCTTACGAATTCATAATTTTCCCGTTTTTAATATCTCTCAATGGAGAATCTCGGACCGGTAGATCTATTCATTAAAATTTTGTCAGGGGGAGACACCCCTGAACCCCCCTCCCCCCTCCTCCATCCCAATTTAACCACCCGCCCCACCTACCCCACTTTCTCGCGCAATAATGTAGAAGTGGTCCGTTTTCTTCAATCTTCCCCAGAACTGGTCTAGTCTATTAATAAAATTATTATAATTAATTAGACCCAGTAGTTTATTCGGGAAATTTTTATTTTCACTCCCGCACACAGATGCACTGCTTCATGGGTCAAACGTCTGCAGTACTGTTTGAGTTTGCTGTAGACCACACATATAAAGCCACTAAAACTGTCGCAATTCCATCGTTTTCAAGAAAATTTCAAATCTAGAATTATCTAGATCTACATCTACATCTACATCTAGATCTAACTATTAAATATCAAATTATGGGTTTTAAACAGCTCCCCCCACCCCCACCCCTCGTAACGCTCTAGATTTTCTTCTACCCCAGTGGGGCAGGGCCCCCCCTGGAACCCCCCGATTGGTCCAAAGCACATGTCTATCTTGATTAAAAAGAACAATCAAATATTTCAAAAAGTATTAATTTGTGACAAAAATGAAGTTGATATTCGTGTTCAACTCATCAATATTTAGATCTAAATCTAGTAGAAAAGGACAATACTGCACTGGTAGCTAAGTGAGACGGGAGGGAAAGTAAAAAAATACTGTTTTTATTCAATACAACTACAACTTCTGTTTTGTTTTTTGTAAAGTGTTTTACGGCGCTCGCAACTGCATAAAAGGTCATATATATGAGCACACTGGACACACCTAATATTTTCAGTTGGTAGGAAATTTGGAATTTTACCTGGGTGGCGGCTGAAGCCTACTCTTATCGATTTTAGACCACCAAGGGATCTTTAACGTGCGCAACTTGCACACTGGCCCTCCAAGATTTTTTGCCCTTGTCCGAGAAGGCTTGGTGTAGATCTTTCCTACCAGAAGATCAGGGATGTGGCAGAAAGACAGCAGTAAGGAGGAGCCCAGGAGTAGCAGTAGAAAGAGTCAAGAGCCCAGAGGAGGGGGCAAAGGAGGTGAGGGGGTGGGGGCAGAAAGTGGGAATGAAAGCAGACAACAGAACATTGCTAGAGAGCAGGAAAGGAGGTGAAAGGAGACAATTTGAAGATCCTCTTTTCAATCTTTGGCGTACTTGGTTTCCTATTTTCGGATGTAGAGGGTGACGTTCGTCTGCTGTTACTCGTAGGTAGGCCTTGACTTGTGCTAGCTTGTGTCTACCAATCTACCACTAGTCAAGATGGCAATCGGTGGTGTCCCTTTATAGCTCCTCCCCCACTGTATCGCCAACTTTGTACCTATCCCAAGGTTAAGGTTGACAGTATGAGGTTTGACCGTACATCCACATGCAGGACCACACACTCACAAACAGACATGTGAACGCTGTAATAATTTGTTCAAATTCCATGTGCTGTTGATTAAAATCTTCTATTTTCAGTGACCTAATGTACGAACTAAGAAACATTCAACATGGTGAGAGACCGGTTACAGGACAAGGCAACAGAGAAAACATTGAGCAGTTCTTGACTAAACATTTTCCAACAAGCGATGCTGACACTAACAGTAAAGGTAATCTGCCATCAACTGTCCAGAATGCGGAAGAACACCGTCCTGAATCTGTTGTTGTGGAGGTAAAAACTTACAGATTATTATTTTTATTGTAAAACATGTGTATTGTACAGTGGAAATTTCTTGGTTTCACTTTCCAGACAAAATTTATTGAGGGCCACAGTAGTGACAGTGCAATGTTTCAAATAAGGTGGTAGGCATTTATATTAGAAGCTGTTAAATTCACGAGTAGTGTGCTTTTTATGAAGGATTATTTTTAAGTTAAATTGTGAAGAGTAAGCCTAACCAGATGTTTTTCTTTGTATGAGTGTCTTAGGTTATTGAGAACACTGCGCCTGAAGTTACAAGGACTTCAGGATTGACAATTGCATACAGTAGAAAACATTAGAGAACAACTGTTCCAAAAAATTTTCTGGAATTGTTTAGCTTCACTTATAAATAGCACAAACTTACATGAAAGGGAGAGCTTTTGTAAAGCAAAATGAAAGGAGAGTGCTGTAGTCCTCATAATAAAGCATGCTTGGATATTTTCAATTTTCCCTTAACTATTTGTTTCATCATGTTATTTGATGTACCCAGTATTGTGAAAAAGTATAATTATAATGGTCAAATCACTTAAATTTTTCATTAACCCAGGTACAAGGTATCATTGAGCGCCGTCCTGTCTCCTCGATCCTTCAATCTGCTGCATTCAGGCGGCAACTGGAGAATGTGATTCGAGGAAGCATCGGTACTTCTCAGAGACCTCGTGGAAGAAACAGCCCGGTTGCTAGGCGTGATAATACTAGCACAGTTAATGTCCCCGAGTTTGTTCCACCTGTGCCACGACCCAGGTCGACCGCCATTGCAGCTTCATCACACTCTACAGGTTTGTACTTTCTTTTGCAACAGTTTAGAAGTTCTGTTTGGGCAAATTGATCCTTTTAAGTATCCTTGTATCATTTCTTTTTTTCTTTTTTCAAGAAACCCCTGTTTGTGATAATGGATGTCTTAATTCTTTTACTCCTTCCTGCATGAAACCAGCTACATTGAATTAAGGTCAAGGGTGTTTATCTCAGCTGTGATATTTTTGGTTGTTTCAGTTTAAAAACCTTAGCCCTTGAACAGCTGTGTGGGCATGCTCGGTTTAGGAGAACCTAATGGAAAAATTAAGAGTAGGCAAGATAGACATAAGTACTTAAATTAAATACTGCTTCAATGTATAAAAATGTGTTTTTTGTAATTGATCCTCTACTGTCTCTTAATTGTAAGTGATGTATTTAATCACAACCCTTCTCAAGGTGGTATCGATGGAAATATGAAAATGTTGAAAGGTTCAATAACAAGTTCACACTTAGATTTACTTAGAAGATAACTTTCTGCAGGAATTGTGGACTGGATATCTAAGACTCAAAAGATTTGTTTCTTGGTGCGACTTGTCTTTTTATTATGATACACAAGAGATCTGTATTACTCATGATTTTATTATTTTCTTCCTACCAGAACCATCTAGTGTAACTCAGACATGGACCACAGGGCCACCTCTTCCATTGATGAGGCAGGCAAGCTCTGAGTCCATTTCTTCTCTTGACAGTTTTTCAAGTGCAAGAAGCTCTGCTGATTTGGGTGCGTTTGCTAAGCTTACCTCATGTCGTTAAAAAATTTTAAAATCAAGATAACAATTTGAAAGCTTTCTTGGTTTGATGTCCATTATATTGTCAAAATATAAATTTAGGTATCACCTGCTGAATTTTATAAATTGACAGCATGCAGAGATGTCAGTCTAGGAAGGTCTTTGGGGTATTTCATGCATCAGGAGCTCCATATTGAGTTAAAGTAAGATTATTGAGATACAAGTCTGACAATATTAATGCTTTAGAAAAAACTCTATAACTCTTTTGTCAGCCTTTTTTCACACAATTTGGAATCATACTACAAATATGGTTTTTGCAGATAGTATTAGTATTCTGAGGATCTATGTGCCATGTATTATTGAAACTAAATAGAGAGTAATTTTAGCAGCGAGATCATCGCCCGTCCTTTTTTCCTTTGAATTGAGCTTCAGATTTCTCAGTTTCTTATCTTTTTTAATAGTTTTTTCTTTGAAACTTGCAATGCTCATTCTCAGAATTTGTGTTTTATTTCAGACGAGGAAATTGATGATGTTGATGTGGCACAGAGTTCAGATATAAATGAACCTCCCATCAGCCGACCCGTGATTGAACGACCAATTCCGCATCCAAGACAATCAGAGAATGCAGAAACAAGACAGGATACAGGTTTTGAGAAGTGAGTAAGAAATGAATCTGATGATCTGATTATTTTTAAAGAGGAACATGTGCATGGTTACTTTGATCCAAATCTTTAGTGCTGATCATTTTATTTTGGAACTTTCCATCTTTAACTCACTTCAGACGGGTCACACAACAGTTGCGTGACCCCCGCCGCGACGCTCGCGACGGGTCTCACAAGCCCTGCGTGACCAACTTTGGAATTTTTTTTTCGCTCTACAAATCACGCACGGATCGCGAGACCCGCCTCGTACCCTTGTTTGGCCAAGCCTGAGCTACTTAGACTTCGTTTCGTATCTCTGGGGCCGGTAGTTTTTAAGTTATTGAAGGTGAAGGACAGTGACCCCAACTGGGGTTGAACAGACCGGAACTCGCGCTTTGTTTTTTTCTATACAGCTGATAGTAATCCGACAGTCGCGTCGTAGTAACGGTCGAAGAAGTCGCATGAACAAGAATCACATAATTTCGCCGTTTTCTATACTTCTGTGCGTTTTACTTGTTCTAGTGTCTCAGAATATGATGTGTCTAATAGTTAGGATCCTGGATATGTACCTGAACACGGCGCGAGTCGTAGTTCTAGGGCTAGATCTAGCACTAGTACCGGTGTTGTTTTTCGCGCAACGAAATCACAACGTCGTGCCGTATATCTGTCTCATGTAATTCAATGTATGGGTCTGAATCAATGCTCAGACCAGCTTTTATATTTTCACCAAACACTCGCACATGTATACAAATCAAACCAGAACACTTTGAACTCTTATTTTTGTTGTTGCAGTGAATTTCATTCTACTTGTCACGTCTCTGGAAATTTTTCGGAAAATCAAATTCATACCAATTTTTAAAAAATCATACAAATTAAAGTATTAGACTTAGACAACTTTAGTTTTTTGTATTAGATTAAGCTTGAATGTCACTTTACTGTGTCAAAAAATTATTACAATAGGGTAATTCTGAGAGTTGTGGTGATTTATTGAAATACCCCCAAAAACGCCAGTCTTCAACGCTTGTGACTGGTGAAAGGGCCCAGTCGCAAGTGAGTTAATCATTCGAATACAATCTTTATCATACTTATAACGTAGAATAGATAAGGATAGGAATAAATAAGACTTCCTTAGGAGCAGTCTCTTCTACTACTTCACTTTTTATTATCTTTCCCCTACCTCAAATCTTATATGACCTTATGCAGTTGCGAGCAACTCTACTAAAACAAACAACTACCTCAAATGGACAGAAAACCTGAAACCCAACATATTTGAAATATTTACCATTAATCATTAGTTTATATTTTAGAGGCTTAATCAGTCTGCGGTTGAAAGGAACTTGAAAACATTTAATTTTCTGGCTGTACTAACACTTTTTTGGGGTGGCGTTCCTTTGTTATATTTTCATGTGTGTCACATGTTATTTAAGTATATTACTAGATCTACATGTCTTGATATTGAATACAGTTATTGAAAAATCACTTGAAAGTTGCTGCTGTATGTAATAACCTCTCCCTAAGAAAGATGGCTGTATTTGTTCAGAAATATTATAAATATGTGATGATGATGGTAGGATTCCAATTTTAGCACCTACACCAAAGGCTGCACTAACTCTTATTTTTCCTACTTTCACCATTTTATCAAGGTTCATAGCTATTTCTTTATTTTTTGTGTGTTGAAAGTTAAAAACAATGGGTTGGTCCTTCTCAGTTTGTCTTGGAGTGACATCGGTCAAGTGCATCGCCAGGAGCTTGTGGAGGAGATCAGTGAGCTGTTGCACAGTCGCCTTGTGTCTTCGACGTTAGATGGCGAGTTCAGAGCTACATTAGAGCTTCTTGTACAGGTGTGTTGCACTGTCAGTTCTATTTGTTTGCTTATTGAAAGTGGGGTCAGGCTTTATTCTGCACTTGAGAGTATTTGTGATTCAAAATATCTTTGATTCTGCTTCTCTTTCAAAGGGTATTTCACTCATACTGCATATGTTCAACTGGAGAGTAAAATTTTTTTAATGACATACATAAAATCCTGAAAGGAAAAGGAAGCATAGTTTGAGGCATGCAGGTTTTTGCTTTTTTTCTTGTGTTTGGACAGAATCAAAAATTGTGTGGGTAGTACTGTTGGCTTCAATTAAATTTTAAACATTTGTTTCACATTAAGAATCTGAAGGAAAATTAATTTGCTTTATTTGTTCATTTCAGGACCGAGTTTCTTCTTCTGGTACAAATGGTCAGGCTGTCGAAAACTTTATAAGGAATCTCCCAGCAAGTGGGGTTCCTCGCAACGACTTCACTGACCTGGGCATTCCTCCTGCTCAAGACTTGGACAATCTGGATAATGTTTCTGTGACCAACATCAGCGCCCACTCTGTGCCTTACACTCAGGTACAAGACTATGTCAATATACAGCTCTGGGGTCTGGTTTATTCAGATTGCATTATAAGTTTGATGACTGCTCAGAAAATAAAGATGTATGTCTCAATGTCAGGATTAACTGATGGAGGAATGTTATGGTTAAATATCATTTCCTAATTTCTGAGCTCTTTTTTTATATTGTATATATATGGTGAGGGTGCCTGTGTATTGTTTTCAATTTATAGCCAACATTTGTATTAGCTTTAATAAAGATGAGATTTGAATTACCAGACTTATTAACTGTTGGTGAATTGCTTCACCATTTGTATAGTTTCAAGCCCAGATCTCTCTTTTTGTGATGGGATCACATGAAAAAGCCTTAGAATCACATTATTCAATTGTGTGACTCCTTTCAGGCGCGGACATTACAACATTTTGGCAAGCTAATATAATTCACTTAAGATTAATTACAGTATTTACAGCATTGCTCTTTTATGTCTCAAGTTAAAGACCTTATGACGTCATCATATTTACATCAAGACATTGAAACATTTGAGGTCTGCGGATGAGAATCTCATGAGATTACCCACTGCAAGATCTAATAAGTAATAAGTTGGGTGGAAGAGCTTTTTCGTCTCATGCCTCTAAAGGTGGAATTCCCTCCCCAAGAGAAATGCGTTTTATATGATCATATGATCAGAGAAAGAGTTTAAGTAAACTCTAAAGACACATTTGTTCAACAATGTCCCGTGCCAGTAATTTTGTATGTGAGGATGTATGTAGGTCTGGAAATTGTATGTATGTGTGTGTGTATCATGTGTGTTGCACGTGTTGGTAATTATGGTCTCAAAAAGTGCACTTTCTATCTTTCAATTTGTCAGTCACATTGAGTGATATTTCTGAATTGCGTAGTACTTAGAGCCTTTCTGGATTATGTGCTATATATATATATATATATATATATATATATATATATATATATATATATAGATATATAGATATATATATAGATATATATATAGATATATATATATAGATATATATATATATATATATATATAGATATATATATATATAGATATATATATATATAGATATATAGAGATATATATATATAGAGATATATATATATATATATATCCCTTTTTTATTATTATTTTGGTTTTAACTTTTTTTTTTTGTGATGTACCGTATAAAATAGAAATATTTGTCTTTTCCATGCCTCATTAAATTTTATAGCTCAGATTTTGAGCTCAGTGAGTGCTGTTTTTTTACAGATAAAGGGTTTGGAGCTGACAAGACCAATATTCAAAAGTTTCTGTTTGTTCATTTTAGACGAATACCCACCTCAGTCGAGAGATTCAAGGCCTCAAGTCTCAGATGATGGAAATGAAGAACATGCTGAAGTTGACCTTCGACCTTCAGATGGACATTCAGAGAGCTATCAGGCAAGAGGTTGCTGCTGCTATGTCACAGTTTGCAGGTAAGCAAATGTCTGATTTTTTTGTGTGGATATAATGATTTTATTTTTTTTTGTCTGCTAACTTTCTTGTACGGGTAAGCTATAGGCAGCTGTTCAAAATGAACCGGTTTTTGAAAATAATATAAAGTTTCTGCCGAAGTCATGTATGGTGTTTTAGAGATCGAGTGAATGGCCTGTGAATGTGAATTCCTCAGTATGCGTTAACTACTAGTTTGGGTTTTATCACAAGCAGGGCAATCCACCTGCGATTTTTTTTTCAATTTGACGCAAATATATAATCGTTACTCAGCTGACTCGGACTCTTCTAGATTTATTTGCTGTTTGGTTAGCCCAACCCATTCCCACCATTCTAGAACATAAAGAATAAAAATGATCAGACCATAATGGTCTGGTCACTATGTCACATGCAGCTGTCCAACTTTTAACACCCCGTGCCCTTATAGGTACTAGGCCCACTTTGCCCTTAGAAAGACATGAGTTGCAATAAAGCCAGGGGTGAGGCAAACAAGGTGTTAAAAAATTCCCACACTTAGTGTTGTGAGGGACTACCTTGGCTAATGAGAGAATTTTTTAAAAAGAGTATTATTGTTTGAAATGAATCAGTTGCAGCACTGCATGGTGGGTAGTGCTGCCCAATCCGGATCAATGAGTTGTGGAACGTTCCCATCAGTTTCTTATGTTTTTTGCAAGTCCTTTTTTTTCTTTTACAATAACCTACCATGACCCATTGTCAATTTTCAATATACATCACACAACATTCATTCAATAGGCACACCCTCCCCCCAACCCTACCCGCAAATTGAGTTTTGTTTCCAACTTTCCATGCGCAGCAAGTGGTGAGAATGCATTGTTTTTTAGGATAGGGAAATGAGACCCTAGGAAGCTGCCAATCATCCTTAATTTAATGGGCACGTCCTGTTGTTTATTATTTAGATTATCTTTAAATTTACAGCTTTGGTTTTATTATTCCCATATTTTTTCTTTCTTTCTTTGTTTTTTGTTCTTAAACTGAGCAGTAGCATGGAAACCTTCAAGTGAATAGCTACAATTTCCCTGTTTTAGTTCTTTTCATTAACACTTTGATTACCACGAAGAAATTTTTTGGTCCCATGAAATCCTTGTGGTCAGGATTTTGTGATATCTGATTCTCAAACACGCCCCAGTTATTGGCCTACTTTTGTCATGAAATGAAGCTCTGTTCAATCCAAAATGCTGGTGTCCAAATTCAAAACTTGCCATACAGTGGAACTTGGATTCAATGAGGGCGCCGGGTCTGACCTAAAATCTCGTTGAATCCGGGTGTTCGTTATAGAAAACATGAGGTTTCGTGTAGATAATTACAAGCACTGAGCAAGTAATGTTTAGAGATCTGAAAAGAAGTAACAAGTGGTGCCTGAAATGCCTGCATATTATGAGCCGTGCAAAAAAAGAAAGACCCATTTGTTAAAATGCACGCCTTTGTCATCTCGATTGTTTGCCAAAAAATTGTGTTGCTGTGTAGAGCCTAGCATATGGCAACTTTTGATTCCATAGACCAGCGCACAATTCATTGCGTAGATCTACTTCAAGATTAGCTCATCGGTGTAATAAAGATCAGTCGCCGTGGGAAAAAAAGACTGACTCGTTTGTATCTGCGACGTTCCAATGGTACACACACACACACACACACACACACACACACACACACACACACACACACCCCCCCCCCCCCTGACTTGCACACACAGGCACACGTGTGCAGGCCGCCCATCCGATCCCAACACACGCTAGAGTAGACGCGTGCGCATGCCAACAACGCATGTGTTAATATGAAAGAAGGCCGCTGATTGGTTGCATGCAATCAGCTTAGTGAATAATGGTTCACGATGCAGGTGCAATGGATGGTTTCCGGGAATAGATGAAGTTCGTTGTGGGAGAAAAATGAGTGAAGCCACGTCTGAGGGGGTTGTTCACCCTGGAAGCGACCTCGTTGAATCCGAGCTTGCTGATTTTAAGTGTTCATTGAATTCAGGTTATTTTGATTGATTTTAAAGAAGAAAAAAAAAACGGGAATCCATCTCCTTTCGTTGAATCTGAAATTTTGTTGAATCCGAGCTCGTTCAATCCGAGTTCCACTGTAGGGCCTATATATATCAAGTGTTAGTCACCATTCTGAATATTTGAGAATGTCATACACTTTTTATTTAGTGAATTTATCAATTTATGGAGATAGATGGATGAAATGTTTCTCTTTTGCTTTTTTTCTCAGCAGAACAAGGAGCGTCAGGTGGCGCTGCTGCAGTTCCTGTGTCCACCAAACCTGTCAATGACACCCATTGTTTGATTTGTTTGGAGCGCCACTCGGACTGTGTTTTGTATCAGTGTGGTCATATGTGTGTGTGTTATGTGTGTGGTCGTGACCTGGTTTCTAGAAGTCTGGGGTGTCCTGTGTGTCGAGCCCCGATCAAAGATGTTATTCGAGCTTATAAAACAAATGTGGACTGAACACATTAATGAGATTGTGATGTTTTGTATCTTTCATTATATTTTCACTCTGTGTTCATGCTGTAGTACACCATTACCACTGACCTATGCTCTTGTATCCATCAAGCTTGCATAGAATTTAATCTCATTTGGTAACAGACTTCAGTGTCCTGTTGCACTGCTTTGGATTTCAGAATGGGCTGACTCTTAGTAGTCTTAGTTGTATGCGTTCTAGTTTTGTTGCGGCAGTGACTTTTCTCAGTCATATGGTAACCACACACACCATGTTGTTCATCATTTTAACAAGGCTAGCCTTAAATTAGTTACTTTCAGATCTGACCTTACAGACTGGGTTGAAGCAACCCATCTCCTAAATAATCTAAATAGTGTCAATTGGGGTGATAAAACTACTACAATAACTTTTTTTGTAATCCATGGACATGGTTTTATATTTGCAGATCTGGCATTGACTATGTGAAATTCACTGTATTGCTTACTTAACTTGCCTAAACTGCTTTTTAAAAAATATCTTGAGATACTCTTCTGCCAATATTTAACCTCTTTAAAATTACCAGACTTCTACTTGTCTGACCAGCTGGAGCCTAAAATTGAGTGTTCTTTGAATTTAAAGCTGAATCCTTGTGTTTCATGTGTCCCCTTCAGATCATGTGTTTTTCATTCACTTCTTTGGCTGAAAAATGCAGTTGAAGAGGAAAGATTTTAATTACTTTTCACCGATCTTCAAACCACATTAGTGTTCATTTTTTCAACTGAATCACTGCATTTAAAATTAATTTGATCAAGAAGATATTGTCTTCTAATTCTACCATCACATTAACATTTTTGTGGCTTTCTCCTCGGATTCTCTGAACATTGACAGCTTGTTCAATCATCAATACTATCGCTCTTCCATCACCAGATCTTGACTTATTCTTTTTATCACTGGCCCTGCTTAACTAAGACAATCACATGTGACTGTCTGCTTTTGTGTACATTCTTTTCCCCAAGTCAGACAAAAATTAACTTTGTTGCATATCCCATGAACTTGGGTGTTTGTTATCTTTGTGATGCAATTATTTTTTTTTTACATTTTAAAAATTATATCTATAAGAACCACATGTACCTCTTTTTATCATATTTTAAAGTCTTCAAGGTGGAAGGGTTGTGAGACATAAGTAGTAGACGGACCAACATAATGTTGCCTATTGAATACATTTTCTCATTGTATTGTGAATTTTGAATGTGAATTGCACAATTAATTACTTGATGAAGAATTATGTCTATGTTGCATGTTGAATTTGTACTTTATGTAAATATATATTTTTGGCCAATACAGTCATCAAAAGTCGACAGAAGCAGTTCTTGTTGTGAATTGATATTGAGCTTCCTGCTCCTCAAGACATTTTTAATCATTGTCTATATTTTGTTTCTATTGATTCCTTTCTTTTCTGTCTGCTGTATCTTATTACTTCTCCAGTTAATGTCACTGTCTCTATACTATACTGTGTTTTTCTTAAGCATGACAAAGAAAATACGGGATACCAGCAAGGATCAGCTGTTACACGGCTTTATCCCCGAGCTAAAGTTACACGGATGTACCTTTGTGCTAAACAGGTCCGTTTGGACTGTAATGAATCGAAGACACAGATGACGTTCAGGCATTTGATGGACTTGATGAATATCATAGCAAGACGGATCACCTTGTCAGGAGCATTATAAGACAGGGTATCAATCAGTTTTATGTGCAACTGGGTTTTCTTTCTTTTCCATCTTCTCATTTCTTTTCCAGCTCATTTAGGAATTTTCCTATGCCCACGAAACTTTGCATATATGGCACTTTTGCAGGCCAGCAACCAAACAAAAATTATTTTTTTATAAATCCAGTAATAAAAAAGTTTTTCTCTTTGGATCCTATACTAAAAACGAATCTTTGGTGCTTACACAGGATCACTCAAATTAAAATACAACGGTTCACTGTACTACTTTTTTTTCACTACTGCTATGTGATCATATCAACTGCATGTGGACTATAGATTAAATACTTCTTTTTCCCAGCATGCAATGACATGTGGACCTCTTTTAAGTAGCATCAGTTCTTGTTAGCCAATAGCACAAAATCAAACATTCTTGTCGAAAAGTCAAGTAGACCTTCAGAGGGGAACCTCCACTACCTACTACTACCTGGCTCACAATTTGATTGTAAAAGTTGGATGACAAAAGATTAAGTGAAAGTACACGAGAAAGATCAAAATGATGGATCATAATATTGTGAGTCATGAGGAATATCATTTCTAACCAGGACTCAACTCGCTCATATGATGTTCTGGTACCTAAGGTACATGTAGGCCCTATGTGATACATATTAACCAAATGTTCAAAGAAATATTCACGAAAACCTTTTCATTCATCCATGGAAGTTTGCTTGTTCAGAGAATCTGAGAATTAACGTGCCCAGATATTTTTTCCTCATATTTCTTATGTACGGTAGAGAGTGTACAGTCAAATCTTTTTGTTATACGGTTGTGAAGTTGGTGGTATAGTAGGGTTGGCGGTATATCTCTCTCTCTCTCTCTCTTCTGGCGCTGTGGCTTCATAAACGGTCAGCGATGCCGACAGCACGCAGGAACTCAACACTCGCCCGGGGTCCTTAAAAAATGCTGAAAGTGGGTTACTGAAATGTCCCAGCAGACGGATTCTAGCACGATAGCTGGCGGGACACCTCAGGAACATATGGTCCATAGTTTCGTCCTCCTCCTTGCAGGGCGGTATATCTTAAACAGGTTTCTAATGCTGTCCTCTGTTAAATAGCCCTAACTGTCTAAACGTCAAGGGAAATGATTCTGCTGTGTGAACTGCGTTTGAAAGAAAAGTGTCTTTTTGTTAATGATTTACATGTACTTTTAGCTGAGAGTCTCTCTCTCTCTCTCTCTCCCTCTCCCTCTCACTCTCTTTCCCCCTCTCACTCTCTCTCTTTCTCCCTCTCACTCTCTCTCTCCCCCTCACTCTCTCTGTAGGTTGGTGGGTGTGGGTTTATGTGTAGGTGGGTGTGTATGAGCAAATGGAAACACGCATGCACCGCCAAAACAGAGGCTGCAAGCTCGCAGAGTCACATGTGGAGAAAAGGGGAGATTATCACTGCAGAGCTGCTGGGTGGGTGCAATGAGTCCTCAACAATAATACTAGGCTTCCCTCTGGTGGCCAATTTGCTGATGGTGTGGCCAGGCAACATTTACATTAGTTGAGTAAGGACTGTAAAACTCGTAGGCGGATAGCAGTTTAAAGGGGCAAATAGTAGGCCTATACAGGCATTCCTTTTTGCGCATCGGGAAAACCTGGCGGTAAGCAGAGCTAGCGGTACCGTATTAATGGCGGCAGTATAATGAAGATTGACTGTATTAGTATTCCTAAGGTTAAGGTAAGAATGTAAATCTTATAATGGGCATTATATTATTTAAAAGACATGACAAATTTAAAATAACACTGCATGACTAGTGCTGAAGAAAAAGAAGAAAGAACCTGCATCAGAAATGTTAAAAGCTCAACATTGGCTTCCAGTTGATAAAAGAATCCAATATAAAGTTTCTACCATCTGTTTTAAATGTCTTAAGGATAAAGCCCCATCCTATCTATCTGAGCTTTTACTTTTAACACTATATGTTCCATCTCGTCAGTCACCTTAATCCATTGATGCAACAAAATTCAGAGCCCCTAGAATGAAATTACGATCTTTTGGTGAGAAAAGTTTCTCCTTTTTTTTTGTCCAAAAATCTGGAACACCTTGCCTCAGGATCTCAGAGAAACAACAAATTTTGATAGGTTTAAGCGATTGCTCAAGACTCATTAGTTTAATTGTTAGTTATATAGTGTGTTAGTAAGTTCTGATTTTTAAAATATATACACGTGTGTGTATATATATATAATATATATATATATATATATATATAATATGTCTTTTCGTGTAGTATAGTTAATGTATGGTTGTGGAAGATCTTTATGTGGTCGAACTGGTTTTTCTTGTTTTCTGTGAAATATTTTTTCTTGTGTGAATGATTACGTGATTGGTGTAAAGCGCTCAGAGCTTATACTAGTATGGGATAGAGTGCTATGTAAATGCAATCTATTATTATTATTATTATATTATTACAATGGTAGAATCATTCAAGTGACAGGTAGTGGAAATCTCTGTGAAGCCAGAGAGGAAAAGACATTTTTAGTAAATGAAGTAGAAATACGTACATAGTTATATTATACGGTTATGATGTGCAAAAAAAGAACACAAACAGTGAACTCAAAGTCAGTCTGTAACATCTATTCATCTTGTAACAGGAATGTAACAAAAGTAGTTCTACACAACAATAAACAGAAACACTATCTAAAAGCTTTGATGGCACATTAAAATATTCTACTGAAAATGAATGTACCAGTACGTCCACTGAAGTAAATGAACCTCTTCAAGTCTGAACATATCATGTTGGCAAGGCTACCTAGTTCACAAATCCTCAAATCAACCACTTAAGACTAACAAAACGAAAAAGTGACGATGATGAAACAATATAAACTTAGTAAAACGTCTTCAGTATGATGTAATAATACAGGAATTCTATAAGACAAAGAGGAAACTTGAATTTTTCTTCTTAAATATCTAAGAATACAATCAATAAAATATTTATACAATTAAACCGGGGACGCTTGCCATTTACTGGTAAAAAAAGAAGAAAAATATAACAAAGAAACATGAGACGACAATAAATATTACTTCTCAACGCATAGGCATCTAAAATATCAAGAGCTTTTCTTTAACTCTATGAATCTGTGTGCAACAATAGCTCAGCTGCTAAGACACTGCTTCGTTTTGAACTACCATTAGTACTACCTCGTAGCCAGTCCCCCCCCCCCCTTTTTTTTTTTACAGTGGTTGGTTGGAAAACTATTCTCAAGCCTCTCTGTCCATTCCTATTGGAGATGGATATTCATGAAAGCCCCTGTGACTCAGACAATAACTGATGGCTGGGGGGAGACAAACTGATAACACCGGGAGGCCAATTTTACAGAAGAGACAAAAAAAAACCTGATTATTTCAATAATATTTATATCATACAAATTAAAGAAACAATTGTACCAATTACTCTGATAAATAACTGTTTTATATGTGTAGCATGTACAAATATGAGTATTTCACACAGAATTGTTATATTTGTAGTAGGCTATAGATCTAGTTTATGTTTTTACACTGGAAATCCAGGGATGTGAACTTGCCATCCCAGAAGTGTTTGTTGGATGAGAGTCCCCCCCCCCCCCCCCCACACACACACACACACACAATGTCCTGCTAGCCCCCCACCCAGCCCCAGTGATGATCATGTCCTAGTTGTTACATTGGGCGACATGTGAATTTTCACAACACACTGAACCATGTCCGTCACTTCATAGCATTCCATAGTATTAGTGCACGCCAAACACACCTCGTAATCAATGAGAACACTTATAGCTATAATAGATACGTTTAGTCAGTAAAATAAAAGTTTAAATGAATTATTATATTAGTATGATTTGAAAAAAAAATTTTTTAAAATCATTTAACAAAATAAATTTTCAATGAGAACGTTCACATGAAAACAATGTGTTTTTCATTTTTTGCTCCCCTGCTTGGCCTCTTTCCATCTGTCATTTACTCTCTATCTCCCCCAGCAAAAAGCGAAATGCAAGTTTAAAGCCAAAAATTATGTCCATTTGAAAAAAAACCCAAAAAACCCAGCAAGAGCTGGCCAACTTCCAGGGAGAGGCCTATACGGAAAATGGCATACCGATTAGAGATGCTCTCTCTAATCGATGAAAAATAAAACCAATGGCATCAGTACTGACATAACCGAAGACAACCAAAATCCGGAGACTGTCTGTAGCTTTACCCAAGACCTAAAATGTCTGATGAGGGATCTAACCCGAAGCATTCTTAAAAATAGGCCAGATCATAGTTGCATTGACTGATTAGAGTCATTTGGGATGACAAGAATATCGCCATCACATCTAACATACCATTTTGATATGCACGTGAAATGTGGACCGTAACAACAGACATCAAAGGACACAGGCACTGGAGATGAAATATTTCCAAATACTCTTCAGTATCTCGTATAGAGATCAGAACAATGAGGTAGTGAGAACTACAATTGGAAACGCCATCGGGCCGTATGAAGACCTCCTGACTTCAGCAAAGAGAAGTAAACTGAAATGGTACGGTATGACACGCCCGCCAATGATCATCTGGAGTGGCCGAGACTATCCTACAAGGAACACGAGTACAAGGAGGGCAGGGGAAATGATGGAAAGACAACATTAAAGGAGGAACTGGCCGTGA